GGCAGAGCCTAGCAAGCTCCCTGTGGCATATTCGATATGCCAAAAACAGTAACAGCAAATCTCACAATGGATACGCTACTGGTGCTTGCTCGAGCAAATCGATGGACAATGGGAGGACAGTGCTACAGTGCTACAGCGGTCTGCTTGAATATTACTTCTCTAGTAAGTTTTAGGCTCACAAAGATGAGGTATGAGAGCTCACTTTAATCCTTTACTAACATCTTGTGAATTAATAAGTTTATACGATTTTCTCTCTTTGTCTTGAATTTGGTTAGTAGGACTCAATCTTTGAGATTTAAGTTAGCTTTGGAACAGGGAGAAAAAGTAAGCATTTCTGGGCTGTAGTGTAGCTGGTCACTGAGTAAATAGCTTGCAAAGTTTTGCCATCTGGTCGTCATTTTGATGTTCCTCTTGATGCATGTAATGGAAATGGCAGAAACTGATCAGCATATTAGGTTAGGTACCAAAGCTCAACTTACATGGGTTGTAGGAGAGGGGATGGTGATATGTAAAGTTAGTGGCCCATGTGGGGCCCCTGTAGCTCTAATAAGGGATGCTTTCAGGGGTTGGATTCCCATGGTATGGAGTACCTCCATGGCTGACTGTCTCCTCAAGGGCCTGGGTTTGAACTCAGCCACATTGGAAAGCTCAAAGTGGAGCAACAGGAGGTCATTTGTTGTTTCTACTTCCTCTAAATTGAATGGGGTGGAGGGTGGAAGTAGGGGGAGGCCGTGGGGAATCACTGTCTTGAGAAAAGACAAAATAGAAAAAAGAGAGACATTTGCCCCTGCTATTTGAGGCAACAGCTGTCCAAACATTTGAAGAGGCCTGCATGTTTCTCATTCTCAGAAACCAGTGCAGGTTGTTTTATTGGGAAAGAGTAGGAAGAGCAGATTTCTCTCTCTAGGTTGGACTGTACCAGCAGAAGCAAATGACAAAACTTCAGCATTTCTGCGATATGACCCAGAGTGTCGGACTGGGCACCTCTTCCCCATTTGCCCTTTAAATGTTTAAATCAATACTTTGTGTAGGTAGAATTTCTCACTTTACAGATAAGAACTTTTCTTTTCTTTTCTTTTTGGTTCATACCCAGTGATGCTCAGTAGTTACTCCTGGCTCTGCACTCAGAAATTACTCCTGGCGGTGCTAGGGGTACCATATGGGATGATGGGTATTTAACCCGGGTCGGCCGCGTGCAAGGCAAACGCTCTACTCGCTGTGCTATCACTGCAGGCCCCAGATAAGCACTTTATTTTTAAAAAATTTATTCTGTTTTCTGTAAGTGGAGGAGGTGGAATTTTAACTCAGAAACTTTAATTTTGAAGTCCAGGCTCTTAACTATTCTACTCTGAATAATTCAATCTGCCACAACATCAATTTTCTCATTAGGTATGCATGGTTGGAAAGCTGAATGAGAAGGTCGAGGTGATGAGGACTCAGGAGTAATGTCCTCTGCAAGCATTTAAAAAGAGGCAGATATTAAATATGTTGGAAAGATCAGGAAAATAGAAATTGCCTAATCTAACGAGAAATATTATGAAAATGGTTTTATTTCATTTTCAAACTCAGTATGACTGATATATTCTTTTTTTTCCCCTGTCACCCAAGTACCACTTATATTCACCTTTCTTTTCTTCTAGCAGTGTGCTCCTTACAATGTACCCCTTTGATATTCCCATGAATTTTTTATGTGCTCAAAAGAATGCTGATTCTGTTGGACACTTCTCTCCACTGTTTTTTATTTAGACAACATGATTTATGATACTAATAATAGTGATGTTTCAGGCGTAGAATGTTGCTATACCACATCCACCACTGGAGTGTCAGCCTCCCTCTCCCACTGTCTCTCTAGGTCCCCCAATGCCCTCACTCTTTCACAAACTGTTTCATAGGCTGATTCTCTGGGTCAGTTGTTATTGGCTTCTATATTTCACATACAAGAGTATTTGTCCTTCTCCCTCTCCTTTTGCCCAACATGATCCCATCTAGATTCACTCATCTACTAGTGAGCTACAGGATTTTCATCTTTTCTTATTCTGCAGTTTCAGAAGCATTTCTGGACAATTGACCAGTTGAACTGTCACTGCCACTGTCCTCCCATTGTTCATCAATTTGCTCAAGCGGACCCAGTCACGTCTCCATTGTGAGGCTTGTTGTTACTGTGCTTGGCATACTGAATACGTCATGGTTGCCAGGCTTTGCCATGAGGGTGAGATACTCTTGGTAGCTTGCCGGGCTCTCCGAGAGGGGCGGAGGAATCCAACCCAGCTCGGCCAGGCCAGCAAACGCCCAACCCGCTATGCTATTGCTCCACAAATTGGAGTTCTAGAAAGTCTTACATAAAAATCAAAATCTTACTGTGTGTGTGTGTGTTTGCGCGTTCTGCTTTGCTAAAAAGAATAACTACATGAAATGCCGAATGTTAAAGATATTTTTTCCTATGAAACTAGAGAGACAGTACAGCATGGAGGATGCTTGCCTAACTTGTGTTTGATTCTCAACATAATATATGGTCCCCCGAGCTTCATCCGGAATAATCCCTGAGCCAAGATCTAGGAGTAGCTCTGTCACTGTTGGGTGTGTTCCCAAAACAAACAAACAAAAGTTTTTCTTCCTAATCTTCTAGCATCATCTTGCCTACACCTATTTTTTTTTTTCTAAGTTACCATTAAGGAATGTTTCCAAAGCTGTTAACCTAGTTTTCACATGAACAACTCTTTGATTCACACTTATTTCATCAGCTCATGTACTTTTAAATTAAATTGCACAATTAAAGTAACAGAATTGCCATAATAGGCTTCATTTTATTTTATTATTATTATTATTATTATTATTATTTTTGTGGGCAGGCACCACACTCATCAGTGCTCAGGGCTTACACCTGGTTTTCTGCTTAAGCCCTACTGGGTTTGGGGGACCATATGTGGTCCTAGTGATCAAACCTCAGTTGGCTGTGTACAAGGCAAGTGCCCTATCTGCTATACTGTCTCTCTAGTACCATCAACATGAACAAACCCGACTGCTTCTTGATGTCCAGCTCAGCTGGGAGCAGCTCTGTCCCCTATAGTTGAGTCCCTTTGCCAGCAGTGCCTGCAGCAGATGATGGATGGGAAAGGAAAGGCTCAGGAAAGACACCTAGATCCAGTGGACCCAGCTCACTGTAGGCATCAGTCTGTGAACAGTATCTCTCTCATCTTCAGATCCGAGACTTCCCTAATATGGGTATCCACTCAGGGAAAGTGAAGTGGCTGGCTTAGGAATGGACCTGGTTGGTGAGACAGGCTTTGACACACTGCACTAAAAACATTCATGTTCTTTGACAAATTTAAAGAAAAACAACAAAAAAAACACACCACAGTTATTTTCTCTTTCTTGGAAGCCCATGGAATCTGATTGCCTTTTTATATGTAAATCGGTTGATTTATATCACTGAATGACAGGGTCATAGAGAAATATTTTTTTTGTTTCATTAGAACCACCGTAAAAAATGCCTTTCTGGAGCTTGGGCCAAGACTAACTTAAATTTTAACCTTTGTTGTGGTGCCACCAAGTGGTTTGTTTTGAGATTCCATTCCTGAAGAAAAGATCTCTTAAGAAGGTGATGGAAAAAAAAAACTGAGGTGAACGGCACATGCAATGATATTTTTTTCAGTCTGTGAAATTATTTTATATGATCCTACAAAAAAGTTTAGAGGTATCATTGCTCATCTGTCTGAGCTAAAAGAGTGTGCATCAAAGCGTGAAGTCTAACACAGTTGATGGACTTTGAGATGTGTCAGTGTAACAAGTGCCACTAGGGTGGGGGATCTGAAAAAGGTTGGGGGAGATGTACATTTGTGGAATGCAGAAGAAATATGGGAATTCTGTCCTCTTGGTTTTTCTGTGACCCTAACAATGCTTAAAAGATAAAAATTATTAATAATAATGATAACAAAATAATGAAAACCTCACTTCTATAGGCATTTTCTTTTGATCTACTGGTGTTACAGTTTAGAGCAGGTAAGGTGGGAATATGATTTAAGGAGATGGGATAACTCTTTTAAAGCATGGATCACGATCCCTTCATGAAGTTAGAGTCCAAAGGCTGAAACCTTAGTTTTGTGAATCCTAAAACTCTCTGTATCTAGAGTTGTTCAACACTCCAGAGTTTTATATTGCTCACTGAACTTACAGGATGCTTATTTATAGGTCAGGGTGCCAGTCTATCGCTCCACAGATAAAACGTCTATACAGTGGGTAAGCCCAAACATGCATGCTCACTCACTTGATCATTTTGCACCCAGTAGGAAATTTTTATGGAAAGATAATTATGCCAAGGGGCAGTAAAGCAGGTGGGGTGCTTGCCTTGCATGTGGCCCACTTGGGTTTTGATCCCAGCACCCCAAGTGGTTCTCCCAAGCCCCACCAGAAATGATTCCTGAGCTCAGAGTTGAAAGTAAGCCCCGAGATCAGCTCAGTCTAGCCCCCCAAATACAAACAAACAGGGGCTGGAGTGATAGCACAGTGGGTAGGGCATTTACCTTGCACGCGGCCAACCCGGGTTCGATTCCCAGCATTCCATAGGTCCCTCAAGTGCCACCAGTAATTCCTGAGAGCTTGAGCCAGGAGTAACCCCTGTGCATCGCCAGGTGTGACCCAAAAAGAAAAAAAATACCCAAACAATTGTGTGTGCATGTACGTGTGCGTGTGTGTGTGTATATACATTTAATACATGCCCTTTATTTATGTGGCCAGAATTATCATAGAAACTCCCATGTAAAACTATATGCTAATAAGTTGTCATTATTTTGAAAAATTCTATAGAAAAGCATATCTGTATTAAATCACTACAACAGTTGTACATGCTTTAACTTTTATATATTTATTTATTGATTTTATTTTTTATTGTTTTTTTTTAATAATGTAGAAATACTGCTATTTATATGCTTTAGCTTTTAGAACACTGACTTGGAGTTCTTTCTAAGTGTAAGCACTTTTCCATGTTCACTGTTTGTTTCTAGAAATAGGACCCAGGTCAAAGACTGTGAAGGCATCAGCAGAGATAATTGGCACTGGAAGGGGCACTCTTCGCCTGAGATCTAAAGGTCCGGCCACCTTGGAGGAAGTGGTGAGTTAGAGCCCCCACTCCCCATCCTGCTTGGAAATGTGTATTAGGACTGGAAATTAGTTAAAAATCACAAAATTAAACTATCATGCTTTTTTTTTTTTGCTTTTTTGGATCACATTGGCTATGCACAGGGGTTACTCCTGGCTTTGCACTCAGAAATTACTCCTGGCAGTGCTTGGGTAACCATATGGGATGCTGGGAATCGAACCGGTTTGACCTTGTGCAAGCCAAATGTCCTACCCGATGTGCTATTGCTCCAGCCCCCTATCATGTGTGTGAGCTTTGTAAATTGCTTACTTAAACAATATGAGTCTTCTCATACTTCTCATATTTAATGTAAAAAGAAAATATAGATTCTAGTGCATGAGAAGAGATTATGATCGGTAGCAACCCTCTTTTACCTGCAGATAACTTTTCCTAGGATCTGTAGATAGCTGGACTGACTGAAAAAAAAATAAAGAAAGAAATCAACCAAAGTTCTCTGAGAGTTAAGATTGCAGGTGAGCTCAGAGCACTTTAAGGAGTAAACTATGGAGGTTTCGGATAACGAAAGATTATATTGGGAAACTCCTGTCTCTTGGGTAGACTGTTTTATCGTCATGTTTTGTTCTCTTTTATGTCAGTATTTCAGAAGCATACAATGTTGCGCTATTGCTGTCAGCACCTCTTTGGCCCTGGGCAGGAGCACCCTGTCCTCAATGTTATAGTGACTTTTTTTCAGTCTTCTTGCCTCCACACTGCCCTCTTCCTTCTGGGTCAGGAGAGCTGCCAGCATTATCTTGAAAGCCTAAGGAAGAATATCAGGTTCCTTTCTTGTAACAACGACTTGCTCCCAGGGTTGCCCCGAATAAAAGCTCCACTCCTCAGTGAGAATGCCTTGACTGGACTCAGCATTTCTTCTCTGGTCTCATCTCCCACTGTGCTTCCCCTGCCTCCCCCTGCTTCAGCCATCTGTGCCTTCTCAGGCCCGAAAGCTCCAGAAGGAGCTCTGCTCAGCTCTGCTCTGCGCTTACCTTGACCTGGCTGCTCTACTGCCTCCTCAGCGTGGCTGCTCCCTGGCCTTCTTTATGTTTGGCTCACGTTGTCACCTTATTTTATTCGTTTCTCCCTTCCTATTGAGTTGTCATTAGTTTACAGTAGAGAGTTTCAGGAGTAGCGCCTCACATCTCTCTGGGTTATAGGATTCACCACCACCAAAGTTCCAGTACTACCCCACCTCCAAAAGACTCCCGGTCTCTATTCTTCCCTCCCTTAATCATCAAGTAACCATGATATTTTCTTCATTGACTGCAGGAGTTAGTTTTATTACATTTTGTCAGTGTGTTTGCTTTAGTTGTTTCTGTTGCCCGTGTGAGTAAAACCATCCAGTAATGGTCTTTCACTTCCTTTCCCAGTTCACTTTAGCACGATCACTTCAGGGTTTGTTGGTTTTGTCCTAAAGAGCACAATGTCGTTTTTCTGCACCTCACACCTCTGGCAGGATAGTATTTCATTAACTGTCTGTTCCACAGCTACTTTATCATCTTCTGTTGATGGGCATTTAGGCTAATTCCGTATTTTGGCAATTGTGAACAACACTCAATATAGAATACAAGCACCTTTTCAAATACATGTTTTCATATCCTAGAGATAAATGTATATAGAAATGGTGCTGCTAGGTCATATGGTATTTCTGTTTCAATTTTATTTACTCTGTTTTATCTATTTTTGTCTTATTTTCATTCACACCTGGCAATTCTTGGGAAGCTACTCTTGCCTTGTTGTCAAGGGACACTCCTAGTGGTGCTTGGGGAACCATATGGTAGTGGAGAGTGAACCTGCTTCGCATCTACGTAAAACATATGCTCCAGCCTTTTGCGCAATCTCCCAGGCCCAATTTTTATTTTTAAATGGAATCTCTGTGCTATTTTTTTAGAGATGCTACACCAAATTTCATCCCAGCCAACAGCATCACTTTATTTTATTTATTTTATTTATTTATTTATTTTTTCTTTTCACAGCCTTTAAAGCCCTTATCTCATCTTGTATGACTAAGATTTATGCACGTTACATACACTGTTGTGTATATGATACATATGAATAACATGTTATTCATATGTATCTTGTATGAATAATAGTTCTCACTCCCCCTTTCCCTGGGGAGCTTTCCTTGTCCTTCTTCTTCAAATTACTAACCACAGTAGTACTTTTCCATATTTCTCCTTCTTGTCTGCTGTGTGGCACCCTTTGTCTCCTGTGCCTTTCACTGCCATAACCCCAGCACCTAGACCAGTACCTGATACTTCCAGAGGAGCTTGAAACAGTGCAGGGTTCATGGATTTATGATTGATTTACTCAGGCTTGACAAGAAGAAGGGTTCTGTTGATGGACTGGGTCAGAAACTGAGTGAAAAACCCCAGGAGAGGAGACAAAAGGAAGAAACATGATGGAGGTAGAGGACAATAGAGGGTGAAGGGTGGCAACCACGTGGACTTGGGGTGGCGAGATGATAATGATGGAGGTGTGGTATCTGGAAGGTGGGCTGTGTCAGAGGGGGCATCAGGCACTGCATAATCTGCTGCAGACTTGGGTGCAGACCCTGGACCTCCTGTTCCCCACTGGGGTGCATGTTGTCCAGGACACTCCGTGTGTCTGATGTTTGGAGAGTGAGGCAGGAGAGTAGACAGGAGCTGTTTTCACAGAGTGGCACCCAGAGCTCACAGATGCTGCTGCCCAGGGCCCATCATGGGCCTAGTTCATGGGAAGCAAGAAAGTCTAGAAACCTGAATTGGGTGGTTCTGAGTGGTCAGTCAGCAAGAGTGGTATTCAGTGGGGAATCTGAGAAAGATTTCCCTTGGAGCCTCTCTGTCCTTGGTGAGCAAGAAGTGATCAGGGGACAGATGGCAGTGAAGATGCCTGGAGAACCAAAGCACTTTGAAGCAGAAACCTCTGGAGGTGTAGGAAACAGAGTAGGGCAGAAACTGTCCTTCCCAGCTGTCCTTTTCCTGTACCCAGCACATGGTCCAGCAGAGTGCCTCAGGCTTGTTCATGTTTGTTGAGTTAAGAAGGGATTGGAAGAGAATGGAGTCACAGGAGCAAGGAGCCGGCCGGAGGGAACTTGGGGAAGGCCAGCTGTGCAGAAGTGATGAGAGACCTTCAGATGGCTCACCCAGGAAGCGGGGTGTTAGGAGAGCCCCATGTGGGGCTTTGTCTGTTGAGTCATGGTCAGCAGGTGGGTTGAGGACTTTCTGATGTCAGATGGCATGTAAAAGGGCAGCTGAAGATGCTGTGGGGAGAGGTGGGGCGGAGTCACAGCTAAACCTCCAAAACCCCATTCCTAATTGCATGGCCTGTTTCATTAAATAGGGCGGTTAAAAATAACGCTTAATAAGGGGAAAAGCAAATTCAGTGCTAATATTAAATTTGTTACAGATGACAGTCTAACTTCATGCACTGAAGAACTTACATGGTTTAAACAACTCACCTCCTTATAAATCAAATGCAGATGCTGAAAATAAGTTGCTCTGCCTCTCTCATTTCTGAGTTTATTCACTCATGAGACAAGATGAGACAAAGATGGATATATGACTTGGCTATGTGATAGAGCATGTGCCTACCTACTCATGTGCCTACTCACGAGACCCTGCCCTGTCTGTACCCCCCAACACAACTGGGTGTGGGCCTGTTCCCTGTAAGTCCTCTGGGGGTGATCCTGACCTTTTGAGCACCCCTCAGTGTCACATGAACACTAAAATACCATGACAGCATTCTCATAGAAGTGGGAAATAAAATTTTATTTGTGACAGATGCCATCTTTAACCAGCTTAGAGAATATAAAATAGCATACAAGTATAGTGGTTTGAAGATGTTATTGCTCTCTTGCCATCTGATCCTAAATTTGTACCTGTACCAGTGAGTGAATATTGAACAAGTTTCAGCTGTGACACTATTGAACACCAGCTATCAAAATACATATATCCAGTCTCGTTCTTTGTTAAAACGTAATTATTTTAGGAATACCAAACATGTTTTGACACCATTAATTCATGGTGAACGTACAATAATATTCTTTTTTTCTAAATTTTATCTTATTTTTATAGTTATTCACAATATTTGATTACATTTCATATTTGGATACCAATCCCATCACCATTACACCTTCCCACCACCATATTTCAAATGTTTCCATCCTGAACCCCAAACCCTGCCCCCAAAGCAGAACTGAAATAATTTATTTTCTACTGATTGTTATGAATAATCTGCTAAAAGTGGGACAGAAAAGGTTTCTTAGAGAAAAGTATGTGAAGATCATTGTATTTCACCCAGGAGCCGTTAAGCCCTTCTGAAAGAGATTAGTAACATGTTGTTAAAGGTTGAGACTTGTATGCATATATATATATATATTTATGTAAATGTATCTCTGTGTAAATATATTTTCCCCTAAAATTGGTTGCATTCTATTTTAAACCCCATCAAATGTGCTGTGCTACTCTTGGTATATTGGTATATCATTGCTGAGATGTCCAGGGATAGATTGACTCATGGGTGAGACTTGGCCTGAGCATGTGGAGAGCAGCGGTGAGCATGGTGGTAGTTGAGTTCTGGAGGTTTTTGGCTGCTGGGGCTGGCTCTGTTGGGGCAAGGAGAGTTCTCATTCATCCTCCTCTGGGTTGCCCTGAATGAAACAGCCTGGCTTTGGGGTCTGGAGGCATGGCTGTGGTGTATTGTTCTGTGCTCTCTTTTGAGAGATTTATTACAACAACATTTCTGACTGTGATTTTGTGTGTGTGTGTGTGTGTGTGTGTGTGTGTGTGTGTGTGTGTGTGTGTGTGTTTAGCTCAGGTCATACTTGTCTAGTTCTATGTTGGTGGGTCACTTCTAGCAGGGCTTGGGGACTATATGTGCTGCTGGGATTCAGCCCAGGTCATTTGGAAGGAGGTAGTCTATACCTTAAATCATAATACCTAAATCAATTAAAAATAATATAATATAACGTATCTGATCATTATCAGATGGAGCAATAATATAGTGCAACATCAAAAAAGTATGTTAATGCATATGTGTCAGCTATGGAAAACATAATACAACAACATATAAAATAAATCAAATGGGGCATATTCAGAAAAGTTTTCCTATTTGGCGAAGCCTCTGTAATGTTTGGAGACTGTTGTATGATAAAGACACAGCCGTGTCCACTCAGGACCTCTCAAAATCTATTTCAACTCTGAGCCCATGTTCCCCAGTTACACAGAACTTTTTTATAGTTCTTTCCCATGTTGTTGTTTTCATTTTGCAGCATCTGGGACTGCACATTTATGGCAGATCTGGGCTTAGACATTTGGTTGTGCTTCTTGCATACATTTGGTTGCAATGCTTGCTGGGGACCACATACTTGTGCTGGTGCCAGGGATTGTCCTCTGGGATGTGGACTGGTGCTTGGGGAATGAGGCCTCATGCATGCAAGGCAGGCACCCTGCTGCTCAGTCACCCCCCCCCGCCCCCCCCTCCCCCAGGCTCCTAACATGCTGCAGTCTTTGAGCAGAGTTCCAGACCTTCAGATTTTGCATGCTTTATTGCTTTCTCCTTGAAGTGCCTTTTCCTTCTGATCTCAGACCAGTTCCTCTCTAAAAATCCAGTCATTAGGTAACCTTGTTTCTGAGTTCTTCTGCTGCCCTAAAAGATTTAGAATTTATTCCAGGCCACTCTCTCCCCACCACTGTCCTTCATGCCTCTGTGCCTTTCATTTCCATTTGAAATCGCCCCTAGAGACAGTGTCCCTGACTTCTCTTGTATGAATCCATATAACTTAGCACTGACATGAAAAATAACTGTTTACAGTACTTGAATTGAGTCATGGAGCATATTCCAGATACATTTTCATTCACATTCACTGAAGTACACAAGCATAAAAATCTGGCTTTGTAGCAGGTTTCTCCCACTTGTGTTTTGACATTAAAGAGATTTCATACAATGATCTTTCTTGCTCTTAACCTGATTTCTCTTTTCTTTGATAAAGCCATCTGAAGTCACAGCAAAAGCAATTGAGAAGGTTGATGATCTTCTTGAATTATACATGGGAATTCGAGATTTTGAATTAGGTAAGCTTATTCTATTTTGAAAAGTTGATATTTTTAATTTGGTAGAGTGTATTTATGTTTATGCTTATTTGTATCTTGCTTGCATTTGTAATACCAAGTATGCTTTTTTTTAGAGAAAACTATCTATGGTGGGACTGGAGCAATAGTATAGTAGGTAGGATGTTTGTTTTGCATGTGGCTGACCCGGGCTTAATCCCTGGCGCCCTATATGGTCCCTCATGCACTTCCAGGAGTAATTCCTGAATACATATCCAGGTGTAACACCTGGATATCATAAGTGTGTTCCCCAAATAAAAAATGAACAAAAATGTTTATTGGGTGATGAAAAGCCTAAATAATAGAAATGTGAAAATAAAAGAAAGATGAAAATAACAATAGAAAAGAATATTGACAGATATTTCCCTCACCACTTATTAATATAATTTTTGATGCCATAACAACTTTTTTAGCTTTAGATTCTCATCTATACATTTTGAATAAGTCTTTCCTTGATAGGTGTTTTTAGAAGTCAAAAATATATGAATATGTGTAAAAAGTATCATGTAATTATATTATTTTTATATTTTTTATATTATTTAAGCACTGGGAGCAATAAATCAGAAAAAATAAAAGAAAGAAAAAAAAGGAAAGGTAAACTTGGTATCTGACTGATAAGAAAGGTTAAGCAGTTGAATTTTTGTGTCTTGTGTCTTCAGTAATATTATAGGGTCTTGATTTAACAATAAAAACTTTATCAAATGCAAATAACAGCAAAAGCAACAAACTGCAGTTGGAATAATAATAATAATAATAATAATAATAATAATAAAAGGCTGGAGCGATAGCACAGCGGGTAGGGCGTTTGCCTTGCACGCGCCCGCTGCGGGTTCGATTTTTCCGCCCCTCTCTGAGAGCCAGGCAAGCTACTGAGAGTATCCCGCCGGCACGGCAAAGCCTGGCATGCTCCCTATGGCATATTCGCTATGCCAAAAACAATAACAAATCTCACAATGGAGATGTTACTGGTGCCTGCTTGAGCAAATCGATGAACAACGGGAGGATAGTGCGACAGTAATAATAAAATAATAATAATAATAATAATAATAATTTTTAAAAAGGAGGTAGAAATGTGCTGCTTTCTACAACAGAAAGTCCTCTGGGAACTTTGCTTCAAGAATGGCTGGATTTGGAGTTCTTGATCAAGAGTCATCAGCCTTCAGGATGCACTTTCTCCTTTCAATTCTGGCTTCATTCCTAATTTTGTTTTTCTGATCTGAACTATAAAAATTAAATTTCAGTATTAAATGTATGGGTGATATCTGTAACCAGGAAAAAAAAATCTTGGTGTGTGTGTGTGTGTGTGTGTGTGTGTGTGTGTGTGTCTAGTGCAGAGTTAAGGTCTGAGCACAGATGGATGTGGTCTAAAAACCAAAAAAAGAAAGGAAAAAAAAAAAAGAAAAAAAATGGAACTCTATTTCTAGTTCATTGAAGAGAAATACAAAATTTGTATATAATAGATTCCCAATGTACATAAACAAGAAATTAAAGCTGAGAAGTTAGCTTGTATGGCAAGATCACTAATATGGACACTATTGTAAATATATTAACAACAATAAAACCCACAATTTCTAATGGAAAAAAACTAAAACTGAGATAATACTATAGAATGACAGTGTTTTAAGACTTTCAGTATCTTAAAAGTTTCCTTAATGGGGGTTGGAGAGAAGTACAATGGTTAGAGCATTTGCCTTATATGTGGCCAATTTGGGTTCAGTCCCCGACATGTCATATGGTAACCCGAACACTGCCAGGAGTAACCCTGAGCATCACTAAGAATAATTTTTTTTCTTGTTGGGTCACACCCGGCAATGCACAGGGGTTACTCCTGGCTCTGCACTTAGGAATTACCTCTGGTGGTGCTCGGGGAACCATATGGGATGCTGGGAATCGAACCCAGGTCGGCCGTGTGCAAGGCAAATGCCCTACTCCCTGTGTTATTGCTCCAGCCCCAATAAATAAATTTTTAAAGAAAGGTTTCCCTAAAACTTTTCTAAAAACTCTTTTGCATTTGGGAAAAAGTATATGGATATTTGCATGTATGATATGTGCTTGGATATTTTTGATGTGGTTTTATAGAATTTCATATGTAAGTGAGGTCAATGGTTTTAGAAATGGCAGTGTTATTAGCCTCGTGTTAGGTAGTACTTGTTGGAAATTTTTTTTTTATTTAGTTGAAAAGTTTTCAAATAGTATAGTCTTGTGAATGTAAGATTTAGAAATGAATATATCAATTGCTGCATCTAAGTGGGCTCAAATTTATGATAAACATATTTTTTGAAGATGAGAACAGTCCTCACTTTTGGACTTAAATTGGGGTGTATGGTCTATAGTTATATAGATGTAAATTGGGAATGCTTGAATTAGTTTTATTCTTTTGTTGCACAAGGAAAAGCATTGGATAGTATAAGTGAATTTAGAAATAGGTCAGTCACTTTCTTCAGGGCTATAAACAAATTCACAAATTCGGGGCACTAAACATTCATCATAAATTCCTTGTAAATTAACTAGTAATCCCTTTGTAAAGTTAATTAATCATCTGTAGCAAATTCCTCCATTGACATGAAAAGTCATTATCATTATTACATGATTAACAGTGTTATCAGTCACCTAGGGACGTTAAGTTTAAGGAAAGTAATTATTAGAAAAATGTCAACCATTGTTAAATTAGGTATTTCTTGCATTATTCAAATCTGATTAGCATGAAATATAAGTCACAAACATGGCACTGAATCAATAGACAGATGAATATGTTTACTTGTTTGCATTTCCTGTGTTTCCTACCTTTCAGAAAATTTAATTCCAAATGCTAATTACAAAGACATTATATGATCCTGCACTTTAAAATTTGCATTTATATAAAAGATTGTAAAAAGTAATTTGGCAACAATGCTACTAAAAACCCAAAGCATTCTTTTCTAAAGAGTGTTGAGATACAGTGACCATTTGAAAATAAATAATTCAAATGAGGGGCCGGAGTGATAGCACAGCAGGTAGGGCGTTTGCCTTGCACGTGGCTGACCTGGGTTCAATCCCCGGCATCCCATATAGTCCCCCAAGCACCGCCAGGAATAATTCCTGAGTGCAGAGCCAGGAATAACCCCTGAGCATCGCTGGGTCTGACCCAAAAAGCAAAAAAAAAAAAAAAAAATTCAAATGAGTTCATGAAAGTCATCTTGCAGATCACAATGTTTCACTTGGTTATAAAATGAAGTTGTTAAGTTTTACTCTTTAATCGACCTTAGCAATATGAATTACTTTATCGAAACATTATCTATAGTGGGGAGATGAGTTCTGAAGATTTGTAGTCCTTTTATTTTTCAGTGGGGGTAGTTTTGGGTGCAGTATATGTGCTCAGGGCTCACTCCTGGTCCTGCACCCAGAAACTACTCCTGGTGGGGCTCAGGAGACCAAATGGGGTGCTGAAGATCGAATCTGGGTTGGTTGTGCACAAGACCAGGCACCCTACCCTCTATACTATGATTCCAACCCCAAAATTTCTAAATTTTTTTGAAGTAAAACAGATTTTATTTGGAGGGTCTTAAGGTATGGAGGGAGATAGGGTGAAAGAGAGAGTAATGGGCTCGAGAGAGAACTCGGGTTTCCCCGAGGGCAGAGAGAGCCCCATACACACATTCCAGCATTAGACACGAAAGCATGAAAGTACACATCTCAAGAGGGGAGATGAGGGCAACACATGTGCTTGGGCAACACATGTGCTCAGCCACATGGGCACAAGCAGCATATGATCTCGGGCAGCATACTCAGAATTTCTACATTTTAAAGAGATACAGAAATATATGAAAAGAAAACTATTTTTTTCTATTTAATTTTTATTGAGTTATCATAGTTCACAATAATATGTAAGTTGTTATTCTATGTATAAAGGAAACTTGAGAGATCCTAAGCAATTTTTTAATCCATAAAGTGTCTTCTGATTTTTGTAAAAAGTAGGCAATAAATTGCTTGAGCAGGCCCAGTAATGTCTCCGTTTTCAGACTTGTTGTTACTGTGTTTGGCATATCGAATACGTCATGGGGTGCTTGCCAGGCTTTGCCGTGCGGGCGAGATACTCTTGGTAGCTTGCTGGGCTCTCCGAGAGGGGCCGCAGAATGGAAACCGGCTTGACCAGGCTGGCTGCGCGCGAGGCAAACGCCCTACCGCTGTGCTGTCGCTCCAGCCATGCAATAATGGTATTTATTTAGTTTGCTCTTGTTGTGAGGGCCACAGCTGCACTGTGTTGTTAGTGTCACACCTAGTGGTGGTGGGGTGCTGAGGATTGAACCCAGGGTCTAACACTTGGAAGGCATATGCTTTACCAGTGAGCCATGCCACCAACTCAATAATGATGTTTTTTTTTTCTTTGCTTTTTGGGTCACGCCCGGCGATGCACAGGGGTTACTCCTGGCTCTGCACTCAGGAATTACCCCTGGCGGTGCTCAGGGGACCATATGGGATGCTGGGAATTGAACCCAGGTTGGCCGCGTGCAAGACAAATGCCCTACCCGCTGTGCTATTGCTCCAGCCCCTCAATAATGATGTTTTAATAGAGATAATTATTATGGGTACTGCTGGAAATTTTTTAACCCAATGGTTCTTTTTTGGGCTGGATGAATGAAGAAATTATTATCAAATGGATTTGTAGGAAAACAAGCCAACATTTAATGACATGAGCCAGGGAGATAGCTCAAAGGGTTAGGATGCAAACCCAGGCACTGCATGGTCTTGAAGGCATCCCTGGATGTAGGTCTAGGTGATCCCCAGCACCACTAGAAAGTCCCCATCCTATCTCTTGTACCAAAAAAAAAAACCCAACAAAAACAATGGAAACAATGGCATACATGGAGAATTTAGATGTCTATAAAATCTAAAGTAAAATGGGATGAAAGAGATGTTTATCTTGTGCTAGCGTACTTGGGGTGGAGAAAAGGGGGAGGAGTCTCACACATGGAGGAGGAGAGGAA